AGCAACTTAATAGAAGAATCATAATTACTTTCAGTTAATGAGAATCCAGAAATTGCACTTTAAGCAACTCCCCCTAAATACATCTTAAGATAATTAAATTTATCAATTTTTTTAAGACTCTCATTACTATGTATAGCTATGTTATAGCTATTCCAGAAACTGTGCCACTCACAAGCATCACCAAAACATTTGTTTATCTCTAATTTAGGTAATTTAACGTTAGCAACGTGCGAGATATTTCCATAAGTTATATTTTCTTGTAAATTATTGTTACCACTATTAATCGTTACTTCCTGTCTTGTAGTCTGGCATTTCAGTAAATATCTTTCAATTTTGACTTTATAAGCCACTACTCGATCTTGATACTCTTGACTTTGTATAATTTCAGTCTCTAATTCAACGCTTTTATCAAAATAATTTTCAATTTTCAAATCAAGATCCTTTAAAGTTTCGTATTTTTCGTTTAACTGATTTAGACAATCATACAAAGTATCATCAGGAAGTATTTCTAATAACGATTTATCAATTTTATTTATTAATTTTGTAATCAGCTGTCTGATTACTGCTCTTTTGGACTTTAATTTTTCAAAATCATCCATTATAAACAGCTCGCATGTTACTATAACAAATACAATACTATTAATACAATAAAATATCAAAAATAAATTACCGACTTAAGGGAGACCAAAACAAAACAAATGTTAACTTACATTTCATGCCGGTGGCCTATTTTTCGGCCGGTGTAGCACCATGAGTCGAATTCAACAATAATTACACAAATTGTAATAATAAAAAGGATTTTATTTCATCGTGGTTCAGTGGTTAAATCCAAACTGAAACTTAAGAAGTGCAGAAAAAAATAATAAAAAAAATTGTTTGCGCTCAGCGCCATCTGTTATTATAAATCCTCAACAGCGGGCTTTAAAATCTTGGCCGAAGCGTTGTAGACAAATCTATTATGCCGGAGGTCGACATATTGAGAGGCATCGCTGAATTTATGTAATAAATTTTGGAAATATAAACATTCAAAAATGATCCCTATATTTTTTTGTTACCCTGTAGGTTATGCGTTGCACTTAAACGGATGACTTTGTTTCTATTATATGGAACTATTAAAACTTTCTGCAAATAACGCAGATAATTTTCATCTTTAGAGCGTGAAGTTTAACTAGATTTATCAGTATAAAATTTTTAATTATAGCTTTCAACATTTAAGCTTATTTTTTCATCAATTTTAATTATTTTTTTTTACGTTGGTTACTTATTTTCCCCCTATTTCCATAAAAAGCTTTAAGTAAATATGAGGAACTTCGTTTTAAGTTAATTTTAATGCCTTGATAACAGGTGAATAGTTTTTCTTACCCACACCACTGTAACTATATGGGTGATTCTTTTTAAACATGACAATTCGGACCAAAAAATTTCTTCAAAATTAAAGTCTTCAAAATAATCTACAATTTTTTTTGTATACTTCTTTAGTTACATTTATTAATATCTTACAAATAGCAGTGTAGTTCATTGACATTTGCTCGAGAGAAAAAATAAAATAGAAATTCACCAAATCTTGAATGCCAGGAAAATGACATATTAGCTTAGAAGTTTAAAAAACAGTCCTTTTAAGTTAATAGTAAGTAACTCAACTTAAGCCTTTATGTTAGATGGACCATAAATTGCTTAAATTAATTCTTTTTATCCACTGTAGAAAGAATCAAATTTTTTTTGTTGCTGATATGTACAGAATAAAATTGTGTATAATAATCAATCATTAAATAAATAAATAAATTTGATTACATCCAACCATATTACATTCATACATAAACTTGGTATTAGGTTAATATTTGCTTTTCCTCCTTACAGTATTAGCAGTTAAAAAAAATTTGTAAACACTTCAATGTCCTGGAATTTATAGGCCAGGATAATGACAAATTCGCCATTTTATAGCATATAACTTTACTTTAATTTAATATTTTGGCCTAAGACGTTTACATTCTGCAGAAAACAACAGGATTTCTTAAAATAACTCAGATAAATCTTAGCTTATGTTATTAATGATTTCAAGAAGCCAGGAAAATGACAACACAAAAACCTACTCATCTTGAAAAAATTTTTGAAATAGATTTTGAACCAGAAAATTGGTTCTTTATTCATGCAACAAGACATGTTCATATAGGAGGATATCTAATCAATCTATTAACATAAGATATTGATTGCTGGCTCTATCTATTTTGGTTATAAACCACTAAATAAAAGTAGCCAGGAAAATGACAGATTTTCTTGGAACAAACAAATTATTGACAGAAAAAAAAATTTAAACGAAGTTTTTGTACATAATAACCTCTGCGTATATTCTAGAAATGCTTACACCGGTTGAGATAAAAAAAATTAGATATTGAAAAATTTATGGGAAGCTTTGAAGCTAGTTATTATTGGAAACATTGTTTGGGGCATGCCTGGAAAATGACATTTTGAAGTTCAATTAAATTTTTTAACTATACAAAACAGTCAATGCTAGCGCAAAGTCATTTTAAAATGCTAACAGCAATTCAATTTATTAATTTTTTTTTAAAAAAAGTTCTTTTAGTATTATAGTATTAGATCTTGGAGCAAGAGACAGTGAATTGTCATATTTCGTGAGAATCACCCATATATAAATAATTAATAGTATTGACTAATATAATCAAGAATTAATCGCATATTAGTCACTACTATTGTTTCCCAGTGATTAATTTCTCAGCATATATTTTTATGTCATTATAGCAATCTAGTTAAAAACTGCTAACCTGGGTATTTTACTTTCAAATTGCTAGAAATACTTTTAAAATAAAGTAAGGAATAAAGTACAGTAATTTTCGGTAGAAAAGCCGCACCGTCGTAACGTGTCTCACCCACGAAAAACATATCTAAAATTTGCGATGGAAATAACCCTAAAACGCACCGCAGGATACGCCGCACTTCCAATTTTAGCCACTATAGATTTTTACCACTATTGAGGAAAAAAGAAGCATTTTAAGCACAGTAACAAAGAAAACAAATTTTGACAGCGGCATATCACGTGTGAAAGTGAACTCAAAAATTTTCAAATGTAAAATGCGTGAATTAAAAAAAAACATGTATAACTTATAAGTACTGACGTTACGGTGTAAAAAGAAAGTCGAAACTGTTATATGGATGCTGATGAAAGAATAGGAATGAAAGCGAAACACCGTGAGTTGATCATGTGACCCTGGTGATTTATCAATAAGAATGGCAAGAATTTTTTTCTCTTCCTTCGAATGTGCTTCGCCCACTCATCCATCTCCAAAGAACAAATCTCTCCAAAAGGGGATGGAAGAGAAATACAACGCGCCAATCATGTGACCTCATCATTAAGAGCGGCGAGAATTTTTTTCCTTTTTCTCTTCTCGGTGAAACGTGCTTCACCGACTCATCCACTACTGAGAATCATCTGTTGTGAATTTTAATTTCCATTCTCGCATTTTCCTCGTCGCATGATTTTCTTCTTTACTTCGCGCGATTGTTTTAACCCGGAAATCAAGCAGACATTTCATCATTCTCAAGTTGTAAATTGGATTCTGTTACACATTCACAGTTCTTATTGACGTCATACAGTCACCCGTCAATCAAAATCTTGTCTTACCGCACCATATTTTTTAAAAAAAATATTAGATAAAAATATATAATTCTCTGTGAACAGCCCATCCAAATATAAGTTTACGACTACCAGTGTCCAATTTCGCAGCCTTGTAAATTTGAACCCAATCTTGGATCAGTACCCCCTGAAGAATTTATTTGTTATGGGAACTTGGAGGACTTGGTGACCCAACACATGTAACGTGCACAAGTCATCTTAGGCCGGCTGGATTCGAACTCACGAACTGATGTAATTAAACATAAACCTTTGTAAAGGATCAAATACAACTTTATTGTTACTTAATAAGATTACAACGTGCGTACATGCATGGTTGCATGCTTACAGGAAACAAAAACAAAACCCCGAACACTTCCCCGCCACGTTTAGGCGGCATTAGTCCTTATACTTAGATGGCATTTTTCTCAGCCTGGTAGGACGGGATTGAACAGAGTCCTGACTAGAACAGCATACTATTTCAGAGTCCTCTTCAGAACTTGTTACCGTTGGTGATGGAAAAATATTTTTCGCCTCAGTCAGGGGTTGCACTTCATCTGGCACAACAGTCGTACCTGGCTGACCTTGATCAGCAATCGGCACAGCACTAGCCTTCAACTGGTCTAAATGCCTCTCAGCATTTGAGCCTTTCGAGTCCACCACTCGATACATTTTATTTCCTATTGGACTCTCTATTGTACCAGGAACCCATCTCACTCCTAGCCTATAATTACGAAAATATACACCCTCACCACCCTTAAAACTTCTACCGGCTAAAATATTTGATTTAGGAGAATATGAATGCACTAAATCTAGACGGCAGCGAATCTGTCTACCCAACAAAATCTCTGCTGGTGAAACACCATGTAAAGCCAGTAGTGTTCGTCTAAAATTCATTAAAATTCTTGACAACCTGACACTCATAGAATCGCGTACTGCCTTACGTAATCGGTGTTTAATAAACTGAACTGCTCTTTCTGCCTGACCATTTGAGGAAGGGTGATAAGGAGCAGAAAACAAATGTCTTATACCATTATGTTTAGTGAAAGCTTCAAACTCATCTGATCGAAACACTGACCCATTGTCACTAACGATACATTCAGGGAATCCAAATCTAGAAAATATCTCATATAATTTCTCTAATGTTACTTTGGAGGTAGTACTTTTCACCGCTATTGCCTCAATCCATTCAGAATATGCATCTTGAACAATTAATATCATATGATTTTCAAAAGGGCCTGACTGGTCTATGTGTATTCTGGACCAAACACGATTAGCTGAGGGCCAAGGTTGTAAACTTTTAGCAGGAGAGTTAGAATTCTGAATGCAACTATTGCAATTTTTGACTATATTCTCAATGTCTACATCTAAATTGGACCACCAGAACAGTGAACGAGCAATGCTCTTCATGCCTGAGATTCCCTGATGTGTACTATGCAGTTCTTGCAAGATACTACTATGTAAAATGTCAGGGACAACCACCCTATTACCCCATAGCAGAACATTACCCACGACAGAGAGTTCCAAACGCTTCCTAAAATAGGGCAACATCTGCTTATAATCTGGACTACTAGAATGTAAGTTATCTATCCATCCTTCTAACACTGATTTTGAAACTTTCCTCAGAGTTGCATTACTGCTCGTAGCTTTACTAATATCTGCAATTGTCACAGGCCCCAGATCTACTCTCTCTATGTTCAATCCAGTTCCTGCGGCACAGGGGGATCTAAAAAAGAACCTGGTAATGGTAATCTACTGCAGGCATCAGCATTTCCATTTTGAACACCTGAACGATAACGAACAGTATACGTATAAGCTGAAAGAGTAATGGTCCATCTCTGTATCCTCGAATTTGCCATGGCTGGTACATGTTTTTTTTTTCAGACATTAAGGTGACTAACGGTTTGTGATCGGTGTTTAAAACAAAATCACGACCCAGCAAATAATCGCGGAAACGAACTACACCAAACACTAGTGCTAATGCCTCTTTTTCTAAGTGAGAATAATTTTTTTCGGCAGGAGACAGGGTCCTCGAGGCAAAAGTAATCAGTCTATCTTCACCATCTATGGTATGAGATAACACCGCTCCAACACCATAAGGTGATGCATCACAAGCTAAAGTTAATTCCTTCTCTGGATCAAAATGGACCAATAGTCCTGAATTACAAATAGCATGTTTAGCCTCGTTGAATGCAATGCTTTCTTTATTTTTCCATTGCCATGAGGCTGATTGATAGAGTAAATTGCACAATGGAGCCAGCTTAGTGCTCATCTGTGGCAAAAACTTGGAATAAAAAGTAATTAAACCTAAAAACGACCTAAGTTCCCCTACATTTTTAGGAATAGGGGCCTCTTTGATAGCTTTAACTTTATTCCCTACAGGACGGATTCCCTCTTTGTCAATTACATGACCTAGAAATGTTATGGAATCGCACAAAAATTTGCATTTTTCTTTCTTTAATTTCAAGCCTGCTGCTTTTAGCTTCCTAAGCACTTCCCTTACATTATGGAGATGTTCTGACTTAGTATGCCCAGTAACCAGGATATCATCGAGAAACACTCCTGTACCTGGAATACCCTTCAATGTTGTTTCCATTACTTTTGGAAAAATCACGGGTGCTGGCGCAACACCAAAAGGCAATCTATTGTATTTAAAAAGTCCTAAATGGGTGTTAATTACTGTTAGTAATTTAGAATTCTCATCTCTAACTCCAACTGGTTGTATGCCTCGCGAAGATCCAATATACTAAATTGTTCCCCATCAGCTAAGCTGGCAAAAATATCCTCAGCCTTCGGAAGTGGGTATTTGGCAGGATCGATAGCTATATTAGCAGTTAACTTAAAATCTCCACAAATGCGAATAGAAGATTTATCCCTTTTTAACACTGGTACAATAGGAGCAGCCCAATCTGAATATCTAACAGGGGTAATGATACTTGCAGCTTCCAGCCGCTCTAATTCTTCCTTAACCTTAGCCCGCATAGCGAAAGGTACAGTTCTGGCTTTATAGAAAGCAGTATTAACATTATCTTTTAACATAAAGCTCGCTTTTGCCTCTTTGAAAAGGCCAAGCTCATTAGAAAACACAACTACATATTAATTTAATATTGTATTTATTTCTAAATCAATCATATTTAAACAATTATGTACAGGTAACATTTTAAATATTTCAATCCAGTTCCTGCCACATAAATTCAGACTCTCCTCCCCCAACAACCTGGAGTGGAACTTTAACTACTTTACCATTATACTCCACATTACATTCTATACAACCCAATACTGAAATTGATTGCCCTGTAAAAGTGGACAATATGGTATCTGCAGGCTGTAGAGCAGGAGCACCTAATTCACTATATGTTTTAGAATTAAAGACACAGCACAGCCTGTGTCTAGCAATATTCTAGCCATTTACCTTGAATAATACCATATAAGGCTTAGGAACTGTATCAGAATTGTTAATTTTCAAAGCATTATTATTAAAAACATCATATTCACTTAAATCATGAAAAGTTGAATTATTTCTAATGTTATTTAAACACTTTAACATTTAAACATTTACTACACCAACATCAGAGTTGATAATATTTAAGCCAGCAACATTAGTTCTAGAAACATTGTTTACAGCATCACTTATACCACCTTTACCAAGTGAAGGAATAACCTTCACTTCATTCACTGAAGCAGCGACCATATTACGTGGCCTTTTTTCGCACCATTTTTCTTAGACTTAAGGCACTTTTTAGACAAATGGCCTATTGTGCCACACAAAAAGCACTTTCCGTCCTCTGACGGACACACTTCCGGTAAATGATCGGAAGCACCACACCTAATATATTCTGTAAAGTTATTACCGACTTCTCCTTTTGAACGAAGTTTCTGTTTACACACGAGAAATTCGCAGTCTGCAAATCTGCTGCGTCTTTGGCAGCCGTTTCCATGGCAACGGTGATTTCAATGGCTTTGGGTACTGTTAAGCTAGGCTCAGCTAGCAGCTGCCGCTGCATTTCTGGATGCTGGATTCCGCACACTAAACGATCACGGATTATGGTTTCCAGAGTATTTCCAAAATGACAGTGTTCTGAAAGCCGCCGTAATTCCGAAACAAATGTAGCTAT